ATAAAAATTTAAACCTCTATACAGTGCAAACAAACAACTTACAAGCCAGATTGGGTTGTAACAACATCAGAAAATAGTGTTGAAATCGTCATTAAATAACAGTTTACATAGCTTCCTTTAAATGGGATACAGGACACTTTTATACACAGCTCAAATTTACCCGGCCAATGCAATAAGCAAAGCACCTTCGAAACATTCTCAGAATTATAATAGATGATGTGACTCAAAAAATGGACAGTATGTTGGCCATGTAATTTTTTTAAATTGAAGATTATTTTTACAATCTAGCATTGCTGTAATTTTCCTTAAACCAATCAGCAGTTTCTTTAATGGCAACTGGAAACGGAGTGAATTTGAAATCAGGGTTCAATTGACGAAGTTTGGCATTGCTGGCAGTTTTCTTGAACTGACCATCAGCCATGGACGTATCATAAAGCAATTGGCCAGAAAAACCAAAAGCCTCAGCTATTTGCTCAGCAGCTTGGCTAATACTAACTTCGTCTTTTTCATCAACTAAAAGAAGGAAATAATAATAGTAATAATTTCCATATTTTGAATATTTACACCAAAGCAATAAGAAAAACTTACCGGACAAGATTAGAGGTTCAACATCTTGATAATGTCTTAGAACCCAAACAAAGAGGCGAGCGAGATCTCTAGAGTAAATAAACTGTCGCAGAGGTTTTCCTGAACCAAGCACAGTGAATTTATCCTCACCTGTGTTTTGAAAAACCACAAGTAAGAACACAAGCATGAATTGTATTGTTTGAGCATGCTGTTTGAAAGGCACATTAAAGAGTAAAAAATGCATACCATTTTCTACAATTTGATGAAGTTTCCTCATAAGGCCTGGAATCACATGGCTTGATTGCAAATTAAAATTGTCATGTGGCCCAAATACGTTGCAAGGAATGACTGAGGTAAATAGGCAGCCATGCTGTTGAAAGTAGGCTTTGTTGCTAATGTCAATGAGCCTCTTTGCATAGCTATATCCAAAATTAGATGGGTGTGGTGGACCCAAATGAACCTACAAAAATTAGCAACAATAAATAAGGAATACCACCAAATAGATCACCAATTTGAAAAGTTAAAAAACTGACCATAGTTTCATCAATAGGATATGAAGTTTTATCTGGAAAGATGCAAGTAGATAGGCAGGAAACTACCTTCTTCACTCCACTTCTAAAGCTTGTCTCAAGCACATTATCATTGATATGAATATTTGTTCTCTGCAAGAATAAAAATCAATAACTATTTTATCAGAAACTGGAAGGTATAGATTTTCTAGGATGGTGAATAACATACCAAAAAGTCTAAATTGTGTGACATGTTGTGGAAAAGACCACCAACCATTGCAGCTAAATGTATGACGTGAGTAGGTTTATGTTTTTGGAACAGTACTGTAGTCTGCTCAATATTACTGAAAAATTAGAACAGAATCATATGATTTTTGAAAATATAGAAAAACTAATAAAGAGATCTTAAGCTTAGATCACCTCAAGTCAGCATCTTTTGACCCCACGAATATCCATGATTCATCCACGGGTTTTTCATTCTCAACAAATTCACGGATAGCTTGGCCGACAAGCCCAGATCCTCCAGTCACAAGAATAACTTTCTTGCCTTCCATAATTCAATCCTATATTTATCAAAGAAAGAAAGCCATAATGATTTCAAAAAATTGGATGATTGAGTGACTCAAAACCGGAATCAACAGAAGGCGAGAAAGTGTTTTTGAAATTTCTAAATAAAATGAGGTCACAATCACAGCAGCAAGTTATAGTGGATTAAATGCTTCTCAGATATGAATTGTTTCTACTTAACTCTCCTCTTCAGTGTTTACAGTGCGGAATAGGTTAGGTCTACGATAAACTCTGGATTTTTTTTCTTATCTACCGGTACGACATTAGAAGAGACTTCTGAGCATTGAAAGAAGAAACATTAAAACTAAGTTACATGAATCCATTGATTGCAAGGGACATTACCTACCAGAAAACCGGCTCAATGTTCGCTTAAAAGTGGCACTCAAATCAGTTTGTTATTGTTTTTTTTTTACTGCCATTATTTGCAGCTGCAGCCACTTCCAGGTCTGCTGCCAATAGATCACAGTAGACCGCGAACTTTAAGGATTCAAAGTCGTCAGTTGAGAATATCTTTAAATTGGGAGTGAATGACGGTGATGATGCAGGTGAAGAAAAAGTAAAAGAACAATTTCCAGATCCAACTGTTATAATGATATATTTGACATTCAAAACCATTATAAAGAAAATCCTGCAAAGGAAAAAAAATGAGACAAAAAAGCTGTCGCAAAATATCTTAAATTAAACGTGTTGTGATTAAACGTAACAATCAAACACAATGCTCATTTTTAATGCGCATGTCTTCTAAAGACACTTCATAGCCAATTAAGTTAACAGTCTCATCATTTTCTTTTGTTGCCCATGTTTTACTTCGTTTGGATGGTGGCTTCATGTGTGCCTTCATGTGTCTTTGTAGCTTGGAGCTGTCAAGAAATTTCCTTGGGCAATGTTTACAAATGTAAGGTCTTTCGCCTGTATGTTTACGTACATGGCTTGACAGGTGACCACTTTCAAAGAATTTTTTTCCACACACGTCACAAGAGAATCTCTTAATGCCCTTATGATACCGAGTGTGCCTATTTAACTCGCCTTGAGAAAAAAAAGTTAAAGCACAACCATTTTCAGGACATTGGAAGGGTCTAACATTCGAATGAACTCTCACATGTCTTTCTAACTCTTGCCTACTAAAATATAACTTATGGCATTCACTACATTGGTATTTTGATTGTGTTTCATGTCTTTTTTTGTGAGTAAACAAAGTAACATGACTGACAAATTTCTTATCACAAACATCACAAGAATATTTTTTATTTGTTTTATCATTAACAACTGTGCAGTAATGCAACTTCTTGTACGGAGCAAACTGACCACAATTATTGCACAGAAAAGCCTGTGACCCTGAATGTCTTTTTTCATGCTCTCGGAGGCTACTTGGGCGTACAAAGGCTTTATCACAATGACCACACACAAATGGTTTATGCCCAGGTTTTGAGAGGGCATGAGCAGCAAGTTGGTTTCTACTTGGAAAATACTCCCCACAATCAGGACACGTAGATTGCATTTTGAAGGTTTTACCTTTCATGTCAGAATGCTCATCAGGATGGTCTTCTACTTCTTCAGAAAAACAATTACTTGATTTGACAAGCTTATTTTGATGAGAAGTAAGGCTTATTTCATTTTCCTTATTAGCTGATTGATTCTCCATCAAATTGCTGAAGTGTTCAATTTCTGTCTGCCCTTCCTGATCAGAATCCATTGAAACAATAATAGGTACTTCACACTCACTTCCCACCTAGAAAACGTTAAAGTAGAATAAGATAAGAATAAGTCAAAATGAATGTTGTTTGTTTGACAACATCAAGAGATCACATACAATCACGGTTGATAAATCATCTTCTGTATGCTTAACGACTGCACGTGATACTTCTCCATTATTGTCGCCATGAGTCAGAAAGCATATGGTATTGTTGCCTACATTTTCTTCTGAGCATATCTGTCGTAAAGTGGCATCAGCATATTCACACTGGACTTTTAATCTGCATGCTAAATCAATCTGCGAAAGACACCCGTTGCAGATTTGATTCGGTAGTCCATCATCAATGAGGACCTGAATAAGTGTGTAAAGCCAGAGCAAAATGTTAGAAGCTAACAAAAATTTTACTGAGATCAAACAGAGAATACCAACCTCAATGCATGCGAATGACATGATTCTTTCAGCTACAGAATAACCAACAAGTAATCCATCGGTGTCCTGTTCCTCATGATGTTCAAAAATATCAACATTTCCCCTCTGAGTCAGGCATATACGGCACACAACAGCAACATCGATGTATTCCTCCTCAGTCATTTTTCACATCCAGCTTCGTTCACATTCAAGAAAGTTAAAATATTGGACATAAAGGAAAAATTTACTTAACTACTTGTTGTTAAAACACAGTTTTTGTTTTGTTTTGTTTTTGTTTTGCCGGTCCTAACGATGGATCGAAATAAGTTTTCGACCCTCAAATAAAATAAGCAAAAAGTAACTTGAGCTGCACTCCTTTGCGTGGTTAAAAAAAAAACACAAATCGGAATATTATTTTGCAATTCTTACCGATTAGCATCCTCGCACGTCGAAAACTTGACAATATTCATGAAATTATATGCGGAAGAACCTCCGTCACGCGTCGTCTGCTGTCGTTTTCTATCCTTATCTTACCCGCTGTATCTCACTTGCTATCTCTCTCACACACTTTTCCGTGCCGTTTCGGTTCTCGTCGCTTCGTCCCCGAAGTTCGCGCTAGCGGTTTGGCAGGCCAGGCAGAAGAAGCACAACACAGGCCGCAGAGTAAGTAACGCGGCGGGTGGTGTCTTTATTCGCAACAGTTCATTGTCATTGTCCTCAGGTGTAGGCGAGTGTCTAGAGCCCTTTAGAGCATGCAACTCACTTGCTGTAACAATTATGTCATTCTTCATGAATGTTGCACCTTCCTTCCTTTGTTGGGCAGCTCAGCTGGGTGCCTATGAGACCTCAAAAGTGCGCATATAGGCTTAATTATAATTCAAAGGGTCTTGCAAGTCATTCACGTTTGCACTGTTCAATAAATTTCATCAAGATGCCTGTGACAGTTTCTTTGTTTAGTGTTACTTGTGACTATCTCACTTTGCCTCCTGATTAGGAATTGAAGGTCACGCGTTTTCTGTGAAACATTTGTCATATCAGTGGCAGAGATAACGTCTTTCAAAATTGTACATTTTATAAATTATAGTTTAAGTAGTTATTTTTTACTTAAGAGACACATACTTTTAATGGTGTCCTTAAAACTTTGCTTAATGCCAAAATTTCCTCTCAACAGAATGCGTCTGGCACTTTTGGCTTTGGTGCTTCTGGCACTGGTAATCAGCAACCATCCCATTGATGCTCGACACAAAGGTGAAGAGAATTGGAAACAACGCTATAGGAAGTGGAAGGAAGCTGAAGAACAAACGCACCACCATGACGTCCTGATTGGAACTGATGAAGCAGCAGCAGCCCGTGTTCAAGATGTAAGTTTCATTTAATGTGAAGAAAAAGAAAAGCTATAAACATGATTCTATTAGATAATTCAATTCTATGAGTTAATAAGTCTGTAAGTTAATCTCACTTCTTTTCTAGGAACATAATGATGTGAATAATGATGGTCTTTCTGAGAAAGAGTTGTGGAGGCAGCGTATTGAGGCAAAAAAACAACGTCAGTCCCAGTGGCAGGCTTCAGATGGAAAACAAGAAGGCAGACCTATGAGTGATATCACTGCTTGGCATGAAGAGAAGTGGAGGAGGAAGCAAGAGCGCCACTATAAAACAGTACCTCATGATCTTCAGCGTCAGAAGAGACACCAAACCCGAGAATTGAAGCTTGAGGGTGAAAGTTCTGGAAAGTTTGTCCGTAAATCTCCTCCTCCTCACACCAAAGTAGCTGAAATGGCACGTTACATTGTCCACAACTCAGGTATGTGTCTAAACTATCAATTTTCTATCATCCAAAACTCCAACAAGGGTTTGTCTCCTAATCTTTTAAATTTTCCAGACTGGGCTGCTGTTGCTTACACTTCCAGGCAACCAGAGACTTTTGGCCTCCCAATGGCTGACATTTTCTCCATAAGTGATGGCCTTGTAGACAACAGTACTGGCGTGCCTTACATGTACATTTCACCCTTGGACACTGGTGTTCAAGATTTGGCCAAGGATAGCAGGTGTTCCTTGGCAATGTCATTGGCACAGGGCAACTACTGCAAACAAGAAGGCTTGGACCCTGAAGATCCACGCTGTGCTCATGTCTTCCTCACAGGAAAACTCAAGACGGTATGTTTCTTTAAGATTTTTTATTTCTTATTTTTATTTATCAAGCAAATGATCTAATTCTGTATTCTAATTTTAGGTAAAGAATGGAACTGAAGAATTCGCCCGGGCTGAAAAGTTATTCTTTGATCGTCACCCTAAGCTCCGCAATATGCCAAAAGGTAAAATTGTGTTGCTCAACAATATGATTTTGACATCAAAAATTTGGTCCACAAGTATGTTGAAATATTTTTATTTTCCTTATTAACAGATCACCGATTCCGCTTTGCCAAACTCAAGATCAGCAATATCCTTGTCCAGGATTACTTTGGTGGTCCAGCTCATATTCCATTGGCTGAGTATTTTGCTGCTAAGCCAGAGGAATTTAATCCCTCCAAAACTCGTCCTGTACCTGAGGTTGATGCAGAGCTTATTCCTGGGGCCTCTTCCTCAGACTCTGAGAAGTGGCTGAGGCCCATTGAATAAGCTGCCAAATACATACTGAGAGGAATACTTATTTACTTGTTTAAGTTGATGATACCTTGGCTAACACATCCCTCAATATTTGCTCTCTGTTTTTTATTATTCTATGTAATTTTTGCCAAGCAGTTGCGCTTCCAACAATAATGTAGCACACTCAATTAAAATGTGAAAATGTTACAAATGAAATCTCTTCAGAGATCTGTTAAAATTCGTGTTTACATATTCCTATGTTAGCCAAAGATATTTTTTTTTGTTTATGTATTTGTTTTATATATTTTTTCTAGTTCACCATTAGCAATAATTTTGTCGCTTTTTGAAAGCGTTATAAGACACTAGTTGTGATAAATACAAAACGTTGAAAACAATGATTAAAGTGTTTCTTGGTTTCTGCCAAATTTTCTGTACCTTTGAACTTGTGCCCGAACTTTCCCGAGACGACCCTCACGCTGGTGGGCACGAGACTTCCCCTGCAGGGTCGCCCCCCGCGAGGCCCAGTCCAAGGAGCCGCAACAAGCGAGGCGCGACCGATTCCAATCCGGGGCATGTCTACTGGACCCCGAAACTCTTCTATGCCTATCTCTCTTTTCCCATTAGAGGGGCTGTGGTGCGAGAGAGATGGGAATAGCGCCCCGAAACTTTCAGGGAGCGGCAGTGGACAGGCCCTGATCGGCCCGACCCGTCCGTCTTTCTCCGATACATATTTGGCCAAATGACTGGAGCTCAACGCCTGCGAGGCTGAGGGTAGGCCGTCCCGCATTGCACGTACGCACTGCAGGCAAGATGTTGCCTACCCGACAGGCGCTATGAGAGCTTGCGTGGGCCGAACGTGACAGTTTCGTAACGACGTATGCGTATGACGGACGTCCTTTCTGGGTGATCCTCCTCGAGACCAAGGCGGGAGTGAGATAGGCAGCGACTCTGCATCTGTGTGCGACGGGTTGCCCATGCGCTCGGCCACAGGCGCTATGACTGCCACTGGCGACTATCCTTATCTTACCCGCTGTATCTGACCCATGTGACCCCACGCTATCTCTCTCTTTTCCGTGCCGTCTCGTTCTCTTCTCGGCACTTCGCTCCTGCCCCAGCGATTTGGCAGGCAGAAGCACAACACAGACCGCAGAGTGAGTATCGAGGCTATGGTCTCTCCATTCCACGACAAACGACAGAGGGCATTGTCCTCAGGCTTTAGGCGAGTGTCTAGCGCGTATGGTACTTTAAGAGCGTGTAACTTCACTTGTGATGACGGTTATATACGTCTTCTTGGACGTCGTCTACCCTTTCTTTGTTGTTCGGCAGCTCAGCTCAGCTAGTGTTCCTTTGCCTATGAGGCTCGCTTGATTATACTTGAAAAGGCTCGTCATTCGCGTGTGCACTGTTCGACAAATTACATCTGCTTGAAGTGTACGGCAGTTTATTATTGTTCAGTGTACTTGTGGTCATATCACTTTGCCATTTAAATGGGAATGGTTCTGTAGACAAGCGTGTATTCTAAAAAATGATCGGTCAATACGTTGTTATTTCATGTAAAAGCAGCGCGTAGGTGGTGATCGAAAAGTGTTTGTTTGATGCTACAATTTCCCCCTTTGAACAGAATGCGTTCGGCACTTTTGGCTTTGGTGCTTCTGGCACTGGTAATCAGCAACCACCATGTCGACGCTCGGCACAAAGGCGAAGAGGATTGGAACCAACGCTACAGGAAGTGGAAGGCCGCCGAGGAGCAGACGCGCCCCCGTGACGCCCTGATCGGAACGGACGAAGCAGCAGCAGCCCGTGTGCAAGATGTGAGTCTCTGTTCAATGTTGAGATGCCAAAAAAAAAAGTACGAGGAACGGCGTCATGCTGTAACCGCTCGCTTGCTCATTTCCAGGAACATAGTGGTGTGAACAACGAACGTCTGTCTGAGAAAGAGTTGTGGTGGCAGAGGATTGAGGCGAAGAAGCAGCGTCAGGCCCAGGGGGCCCTCGATCAGGTTCCACAAAGAAAACCAGCGGTCCAGCCAATGAGTGACATCACTGCTTGGCATGAAGAGAAGTTGAGGAGGCAACAAGAACGCCGAGATCGCCATCATCGCGGAGTACCCTCGTGATCCGCAACGTTAGGAGAGAACCAAACTAGAGCAGATGTCGACTTTGGAGGTGTATGTCTGACCTGGTCGTCAATCTACGTACGTTCGTTTCTGCTTGACCGCTATAGCAATAAAGTTTTCGTTTGACAAAAGAAATAACTTGCAATAAAATATAATACCAAATAGCTTTGTGAACATGTCGTATGCGTTTTTCTTGTGCTGCCTACTTATTCGTGCACCTTTTGCGGACTCTTGCAATGCGCTGTGGCCCACCATCACCCTACAAAGACGACCCTCCTCACGCCGGTGGGCACGAGACTCGCCCTCCAGCGGGCCGACCTCGACCTGCAGCAGCGGGGCGCGCCGCGCGCGCGCCCAAGGAGCCACAGCAAGCGAGGCGCGACCGATCCGATCGGCCCTGTGAGACCGGCCGGCTCAGGCGGGCAGTACGGGCAGTACAGTAGTCACCACACCAGC